ATTTAATTTTTTGATGAAAATTTTAAATTGAGGATTCTCAACAATAGAGAATGGTTGCATATCTGCAGCAACAAAGTCAACAAGAAATTTGGTTATTAGTTTAGACTCTTTTTTGGAATAAGGCTTATACATTAAATCTTTTAAGGTGGTTTGTCTGGATTCAGGTTTTTAATATCTTGTTGAATGTTTATTACTAAGGTAACGCCGAAGGGATGTTGTTGCATTGCCAGTTGCATATGTTTGTGTACACAATGTACACTTATATTCTGTTACAGCATTATTTTGTGAATCGCAGATTTTTTCAAAAAACTTCCACACATCTGAAGAAACTGTGAACTTTGAAGTTGATGTATCTTCCTCTCTTGCTAAAGAATCGGAAGAATATATAGATTCATTATCATTATTTGGAGAATTTATTTCACACGACATATTCAATATTACGCCAAAAAAAATTGGGCTGGTTGGGCTAAAAATGATCAACGTTATGACGCGTTATTACGCGTTGTGTAATTTTATATAAAATTGATTTAGGATCGGTCTTAAGGATCGATCCGGTCCAATCTGATTCGATCCAATCTCAACCTTCAGTAGGGATATTAATCGATTGGATCAACTACAATCAGATCAGGTGATGATTAATTATGATTAGTTGATTACATAAATTGCACAATATTTATTTGATCATCTGATCACAGAAAAAAATATGAAAACATTTAGTTTTTTTTATTCAATTTTTTAAAATTATTGAAAAGTCTATTAAAATTTTACTATAATTAATTTTTCTTAAAGAGGAGGAAAAATATCAAAGTTAAACATATTATGTTTTAAAAATACTAAATAATTAACCATATTAGGATTTAGCCTATTTCTCTTTGCAGTTACATAGTTTCCTGCATCAGAAAAAAGTCTTTCACTAGGTACTGAGGATGCAGGAATTGCCAAATATTTTCTTGCAAGTTTTGCAAGTGTTGGGAAAGTTCTTTTGTTTGAATTCCACCATTCTAAAGGATTATTTTCTTCAGTTGTAGGTAATTGTGGCAGGCTAATGTAACAGTCAAATTCATTTTGTTCATTATCTTCAATAAATGAACAGAAGAATGATTGCATTTTGGAATTATTATCAGAATTAACTTGAACTGTAGAAATTGGAAAAGAACTAGATTCTAAAAGCTGAGTATATTGTTTTCGGAGATCATCAATAATTTGATGCTTTAATTCCTAAATATATGAAAATTATAAATTAAAATTCTAATAAATTTTCTAAAATATGATTTATATTCTTACTTACATTATTAGTAATAAATAATAATTTCTTAAATCGAGGATCTAAGAAAGACCCATATAATCCAATGTTTAAAGGGGATTTCCCAATGCTTTCTAATATTATCTAATATAATATTTTTAACTTGAGTAATTAAAATATTTTCAGTTTCATAGGTACTTAAATGATATTCAAGTTCCCTAATTGCTGGAATTGTTACGTCTAATGTTGAATACTTTGAACCCCCTAAAATCTCAGTTGCTTTATCAAAAGGTTTTAAATTATAGTAAGTTCTTTACAGAAATTAAACTCTTCATCTGAAAGTAAATACTCAGATAACCTTTCACCTTCTTTTCGAATATCACTTGCAGTATTATTTAAAAAAGAACTGCGAAGATGTTTTATAGAAGGTTGTAATATTATCAATCGTTGAATTGCATGAAATGTTGAATTCCAACGTGTTTCAACATCTTTTATAACATCTAATAGCTCCTTAATGTCTGGGTTAAGTTGCTTTTGCATTTCTTTTAATTGTCTTCGTTTTTTATCACTGCTTAAAAAATTAATTAATTTTTTTGCTTTAGCTATAATACTACTAATATGACTAAGACCAAGATTGACAGAAAGTTGTAGTGTATGAGCACTACATGAAATATTACTAATTTCTAATTGTGTAATTGCTGCCTTAATATTGGATCCATTATCTGTAGTAATTCCAACAATATTTTCTTTAGATATACCAAATTTTACTAATTCTGATTGTATTTTTATTAGGATTTCTGTTGCGGTATGTGATTCTGGAAAATCAATCATATCTAACATAATATCATATAATTTGAATTCAGATGTAAGCCAATGACAAGTAAGTCCTAAATAGGCATCATGTACGCGGGATGACCAAATATCTAATGCAAGTGCTACATGTTCTGCTGTTTCTGCAATTTTATTTTTGATTAAGTTATTTGTCCAATTATGAGCATCAAAAATCATTGTTTTTATTATATTAACACCAGGAACTCTAAATCTAGGATCAAGTGAATTACAAAATATTTTAAATTCTTCATTATTAACAATTGAAAGTGGTAATGTACCTGAAAGAATAAATCTTATAAGTTGTTGAGTTAAATATGATTGTTGTACATGGTTAAGTGGTTCAGGTAGATGTTCTGATTTGGATTTGTTAAAAATTTCTTTAGCTGTTTTTGTTGATTTTATTATATAATGAGAGCTTCGCAAATGTCCGATCATATTACTAGTTGACCTAAGCCAAATATAATCAGTTTTACATCCTTCAAAAAGACATTTTGCACGTTTACTTACAGGTTCTTCTTCATTTTCAGGAACTAAATAAATCTCAAAAAATTGCTTAGCAAAACTAGTTGATCTATTATTTGTATCAAAGTTTCTAGATCGTTTTAAAGATTGCTTAATTTCTAAACTATTTGTTGAAGACATGGTATTAGTTGAATGTTAAAAATTAAAAAAAACTTTATATATTTAAAACAAAAAATGCCTTTTTGTTAGTTAAACGTATGCAACGCTTTGTATGTATCAATTGCATCATACATAAATGGGCAAATTCACATGATTTAACAGCCGATTAGTTGATATAGTTGATTTAAAATTGATTAGCTGATATATCAACTAATCAATCAATTATTCGAATATCGATTAATATCACTAACCTTCAGATTGGACCGAGATTGGTCTTATGATTGGATCGTGATCTAGACCGTCTCCCTGAGATCGTTAACATCCCTACAATTGACGCGTGAACTGTATAACGTGTTTCTGTTATGTGATCGTCAATTATAAATATGAAAAAAACGTCAGTGAATGGACATGCAAGAATGTCTTAAATCATTACAAAGAAAATGATTCACAGCTTACTCTCAAGCAAGCACTCGATTCGATCAATAAGGATCTCAAACGAATCTCAAAATATGGCTCTGATGCAAATTGTAGAGAAAAAGCAGAGTCTATAATCATCAACTGGAAGGTATGTTTACGAAAAAAAAACAGTGAAAAGGAAGAAGATTAGAGTATGGTCAAGCTGTACACTCTTGGTCGATCGGTGATGAACTCTTGGTTCGTACTTACTCTAACTTTGGCAGAAGCTGAACAACTCTTGGTTGTTTGGTTATGAACTCTTGGTTCCTGCAAAGCCGCACACTCTTGGTCGATCGGTGATGAACTTCTAGTTCGACATTCTCTCTCAAATCCCTCAAATGATTCTGACACAGTGCATCTAATTTTTAATCTATTGCCTAGGAATAGACCAAAGATATAAAGAAAAATAACAGGATGTAAGAGCTGATTTTCGAACGTGATATTCTAATGGTAATTCTCTAGATTTATTTATGTAACGAAATATGCAAAAATACATGTGCAGTATTTTACTTCTTTTCTTCATTCCTTTATAGTCCGAGCAACATAATGAGGTTATAAGAACAGCAGTTGTTCGAGATCAAGCTGTACGGACTACATTTGCCAGACAGCTGGAAATTTTTGAAAATGAGCCTCATGTTCAAACATCGACAAGAAAAAGGCGTAATTCGAATGATGGATTCACACAAAATGCAAATGATCATGAGGAAGGAAGAATTCCCCAGGAAGAACGAGATGAATTAGACAACCAAAGGGAAGGTTATGAAAAGGTGCGGATATGAGTTTCTCTTCAAAAAAAGTGGACATTCACTTTTAATCAATAATTTCAATAATTCGATATATCTAACTACTTTGTTTTTATATACATTCAGAACAAAACATCGAAGGAAAGGGAAGATCGTGAGGAGGAGTAAGAATTTAGCAGTATATTGTTTGATGAAAAAAACGAAGACTCCCTTATGGAAAGCGTCGATGAAAGCAGGTTAATAAGTGAAACGAGGCTAGCGATCTCAATAACATCTGATAATATATCTGAATACAAACTGTCAAATGGTAGCGACTTATTAACCATGTTTAAAAGATATCAAAAGAATATCCCAAAGTGTCGTCGAGCTACTACATAAGTTTTTACTGATTTAACTTATGATAATGATCTGGTCTTTGTACTTATACCTTATTTATTGTCTATTAGACCAGCATATTGGGGTATATTGGATCTAACTCGAGAGAGTCTGTATGGATGCAAAGAATTTTCAGAGAGAGATATTTAGGCCTTATCACAAGACTTTTCAAATACTATTTCTTGGGATCCAAAGTCGACACCGGATTATCTTCAAGAATATTTTAATAAGAACTGTGAAGAAATTCATCAACTAAAGGACATAAAAAAACTTCACGCAAACATCCAATTCATATAAGTATTGGTTTATTATAAATGTCTGCAATATTCTCTAAAATTGTTTAACGAGTCGTTTTACTTCTTTCTATCATAAAAAAAAGAAAACATGGACTCATTTAACGATTCCATGACCGAGGAAGAATTGAAAATGATTTCCACCTTTCCACTTTTTCGCTCTATTCTTTAGTTAAGGATAGGGTTCCTCAAAATCAAATCAAATCAAATATTTAAGCAATTTGAATTTGATTTGATTTTTTCAAATCGAATCG